GCAAATTTTGCTCAAAATATTGGTGAGTGATGACACCAGCAGAAGTTCTTAATTCCCATGTTAAGCTATCAGGAAATAGCTCCTTTTTAAAATTTTAATTGATGAACCAGCTGTGAAACAGGAAATCAGTCATTCTATTAGGATTTCTTTCCAGGAGATATTTTAAATTATGGCACATGAAACAGTTCTGTTCAGATCAAACTTCCTTTTTTAAAAGGCTACGTGAGCCCCCAAATCTAACTGCTTCTTAGAGTTTGACTTCTTTTTTGTGAACTTTTATTCAGGTAAATGTTAATAAAAATGGTGTTTCAAAAAAAAATTAAATTAAATTAAAAAAATGGTGTTTTTTCTTCTGATAATGTCTTTTGTTAGTTTAACTCAAACATCTCTGTGAATAAACCTAAGACGGTAAGGAAAAGGTTTTCATCCCCAAAGCCTTCCTCTCCTGGAAAGTAATATAATTCTGAGGGGTACCTACTAGATAAGGCTCCTGTCTTCAAGAACATTATAGTTCTTATGGTAGGATTAAATGTTTAAATGTTAAAGATGAGAAGATAATGTTAATTATTCGATTCATTGACTTGAGTAGGAAAGACCATTCTAATCATAATTTTAAAACTAGAAGCTACTGGGAAAAAAATACTATTGGATAAGACTAGTGGTCTCTAAACTTAAGTATGAGAGTCACCCAACAGGTTTGTTCTCTTGCCATAGAACTTGCCCCCATACACAGCACAACTGCAAGTACATATCATTATAGGGGATGCTTCATTTGCTATGATCATCAACAGTGTGTAGTTCAGCTCACTGACTACTTTGTCCTGCATTATTATCAAATTAGACAGTGTCTGTTTCTGGCTCTGCAGCCACTGACATCCACACATGCAGCTGTCCACAGCTGGAACCATCATTGTAACAAGCACTGGACAGTATAAGTGCTTTACCTCTTGTTTCTGGTACACCTTCACAGGTAACAGGCTCTAGCACCTCCTAAGGTCTCTCGTCCCTTCTGGCTACTGGTATATCTGGGCTCTTTTGGTCCCTGTTAGCTCCTAGCACACTGGGTTCTCTCTTGGCCCCTGCTGGTGCAGTATCAATAACATGTAGCATATGGATTGTCTTGCCCCTGTTGACTCCCAGCACCCCTAAATCTCACAGGCATGACCACAAAGCAGCCAAGGACTCTCCCAATCTCTGTCTAAATTGTTTTCCAAAGTCTACCATCCACTTGTTGTTCACAAGAGCCCTTGACTGCTGCTGCTTGGTTTTCTGCATTAACACTGTTTGCCACTGGCCAGGCTTGCAGGTATTAATCTTCCTCCTCTTTTTTTTTTTTTTTTGAATTTTAATATTTATTTTTTAGTTCTCGGCGGACACAACATCTTTGTTGGTATGTGGTGCTGGGGATCGAACCCGGGCCGCACGCATTCCAGGCGAGCGCGCTACCGCTTGAGCCACATCCCCAGCCCAATCTTCCTCCTCTTTGAACTCCATCAACAATATGGGGGAAACCAAGAGGTATTTTCAAGGTTCATAAATCCTCCTCTAACTGTACTTTGGCTTCAGAGGCCTCTTTCTTATCTTGCAACTTCCTCATCTTGGCAGTCTGCATCAGTTTTTTCTCTCAAAAAAAGTTATTTCTTCATCCCACATCCCACTGGCCATGTATGTGGCTCCTCAGGTTTCTTTTTGGTTAAGCTGACTAGCTATAAATTAGGTGTGGGCACATTGTGTAGATCTTTGAACTTGGTGACATGTAAATTATTATGTTTTTGTTCTAGTTGATCTTGTACAAGCATACACTGAAGAATTGTTCATCTAACCAGACAAGCATGTCTGGTTATGCTCATATATCTGGGCCTCCATCTAGTAAGGATCTCTTTTTTTTTCTCTCTAAGAGCCCACCTATCTTTTTTAAATGCTTGCTGCAATCCATGTCTGTTATGGTTTAGATATGATATCCCCCAAAAGCTCATGTGTGAGACAATGAAAGAAGACTCAGAGGAGAAATGATTGTGTTGTAAGAGTCTTAACCCAATCAGTGAGTTAATTCAGTTCACTGTAGATAATTTTTAATGCAACCTATTTCCTATTATTGCTGTTTCCAATGTATGTGCTCTGAAGACAAAGGACTATACTTAAGATAGCATTTAATGTAGTGATCACATATATGTTTAACAAATAAATATTGCATTAAACCTGAGTTATGATAGTAGTTTTTTGTTTGTTGATCAGAGACATAGTTCTTTCACAATAGATTATTTAGCTCTGTTTTATAACAAAAGTCTTGGGTTATAAAATCTTGGTTGTAGTACACTTGGTTGTTCAATCACAGCTACTTAAAATTAAAGAAGCCATTAATGCTGAGGCATGGTGGTGCACACCTATTTTGGCAGAAGGAGCACAAGTTTGAGGCCAGTCTGGACAATTTACCAAGACCCTGTCTCAAAATAAAAAATAATAAATGGGCTGGGAAGTAGCTCGGTGGTAAAGCACCCCTTGGTTTAATCCTCAGTACCTAAAACAAAACAAAAACAAATCATTAGTGTACACCAGGGTGTGTGTGTGTTAGTTACCAGGGATTGAACCCAGGGAGAGCTTACTACTGAGTCACATTCCCAGTCTCTTTTTAAACTTTTGAGAGAGGGCTGGCCCCAAACTTGAAATTCTCTGGTCTCAGTCTCCCATGCAGCTAGGATTACAGGCATGCAGTGATCACACATATGTTTAATAAATAAAATGGCTGTCTGCCATTTCTTGGAATGGGTGATCTTTACTATTCAAATTTCATTTTTAGCAAAACCTACTGAAGGGGTTGGGGATGTGGCTCAAGCGGTAGCCACTCGCCTGGCATGCGTGTGGCCGGGTTCGATCCTCAGCACCACATGCAAACGAAGATGTTGTGTCTGCTGAGAACTAAGAAAAAATAAATAAATGTTAAAATTCTCTCTCTCTCTCTGTCCCCCTCACTCTCTCTTTAA